TATATAATAATATATTATATTTTTTTATATTTGAGTTTAAATCATAATAGCTGATGTGGCATTGTGGTTTTGCGTTTTTTTGGTATAGATTTAGTTCGGATTTGAATCCAACACTCAACATTTATTTTTTTCAAATAATTTTAACAAGTTAATTTCAAGCGGAACACGAGCCGAACAAGAACAATAATATTTATATCGAGTCGAACACAAACACACTATTCATGAGCCAATTTCAAACACGAGCCGATTTCAAATACGAGCAATTTTGAACGAGCCGACATGAGCCAAGCCTGAGCTCGGTCAACCTCGACTCATTTACAACTCTAGCCTTAGTTTGTCGCCTCTGATCCTCCAAGTGCTAGGTGTAGTGATTGTCAAGGCGACCCTCGTAGCGATAGCGATTTAATGGTCGTGTGATTTGTCAGGATTGTTCTCTGTTGTTTTGTGGCGGTCTTTTCTGGTGTTTCTGTTCGGCGAGCTCAGAGGCGTTCTCGTTGGAGACGATGAATTTGTTGGCCCCATCCAACAGCTCGACCAATCTTTATGGTTCTGTGAGTTCGATGTCGAAACAGAACCTCTCTTACCTTAATCCTTGCATCAGCGTGGCCTAAGCCATGTCAAGCTTCAAGCCCTTGACATCTAACGTTTCACTCTGAAATCGTGCAATAAACGATTGTAAGCTCTTGTTACCCCTAGCTTCAGTTGCCACAGGGATTTCGACGATTCGAAAGATACGAGATGTTCGTTGGGATCCGATAGTCCTTTATACATCTCTAAGACTGACATCGTGAACTTCTCCGGGGGTTCAACTCTAGAGACCTGTAGGGAGAAAGAGTTCTCCGACTCCCTCTGTACCTCGGTTCGCATCGATCAGTTCCTCTCCTTCACAGGGGTGGATCCGGCGTTGTCTTGGTATAGACCATCGTCGGGCTTCTCCTGCAGGTAGACTCCCCTTGTTTCATTGTTGGTTGGTGGTTCCCCTTGAGGGCGTTGAGTGTTTCTTGTCGTGCTAGCTCTCCTTCTGGAACTTGGGCAGGCTCAGATGTTGTGTTAGCAACTGCCCTAAGGACTTTTGTGAACTATCCTGACATTCGGGTGCATGCTGCTTTTTCTTCTTTCCTCTGACAAGACTCTCATTTTTGTTGTTATTGGGCTCCTCTTCTTGTTGATGATATGTTTCTATGTTCACCGCACCAAAAAGAATGTTGGATCCAAAAATATACGGTAAACACACCCAAGAAATGGAATGTGCTATTAGGAAGTGATTAAGGGAGAGAGAAAGAGAGACAGAGAAAGAGAGACAACAGTAGGAGACAGATCAAATGTGTCATTCATTCAAAATATGGACCCTTATGTATAGGTCTAGGTCCCAATACTACAAAATTAAGTATTAGCCCTCTCATTATTAACTTTTCAGGGGGCTTTTTGGTAATTACAGAGTTATTTGCATATAATAAAACTAGAAGCTTCGGTCGATATATAGTCTGAAAGAGTGCTCCATGTCGTTCGTCCTGAAGGTTGATTACTACCCTACAGAATTTTCTCTTGCTGTCTTCTCTGTCGATCGTTCGGATAAGGTGCTTCCTCCGCCAATACTCATCTGGAAACGATCGTCATCCGCATCTACGCTCAATCGTCCACATCTTCTTTCTGAGATGCCCATCGACTTTTTCATTCGTACTGACACATTTTTTATGTGTACACATGTAAATTGATGTCATCCCTGATATTGTTTAATCCATTAATTTATCTCCTTACGGAAAAATAATGTTTAGTTGAAGATCCAATAAGGTTTAAAACTAATGCCCCGCAACTCTTTGTGATCAATGGCCAATCTTTCAAGAGCTCTTTATCTATAACTAATCTTTAATTCACGCATGAAATTCTAATGGCAATATCTTAAAAGTTTAATTTTGGCAATGCAAAATTCATTTGAGGATTGTTTGGTTAACAGAACTTGGAATGCGATGGTTTCTTTAAATGTAATGTAGATTAAACGCAATGATTTTGGCATATTCAGGATTGTTTGGTTATAGAGGGAGGTTGCGGCCTAGCATGGGATACCTAGAGCAAGCACAAAGAAATTATGGTCTTAAGTGAGAGTGGGAAAGCTAGAGTTGAGCAATTATTTTGGAATGTTGGGTCTGGGTGAAATTCAAATCCTTGAAAATTGAGTTGTTGGAGGTTTCAAAATAAATGCATTCCAAATGTAAAAAGCTTAAAATAACTACAATCAAATATCCCCATAGGTGGAAGAAAACTTGTTATCAAGTTCTATGGCAACGTTACTTTCAGTCAACTTGAGAAAAGATCCGAAAGAATACTCAAGATCATGCACTTAATGCTAGAAGTGCACTCACTTGCATCTCTATCCCTTCCAAATGCTTTAACGAATTGTCTGTCTTGATCATGTGTTGTATGGAATGGATAAAATTTATTGTTATGATCAAATACTTCAATATGTAGATAGAAGCTACAACTCTCTTGAAGGGAAGTAGGAATCTTCAAAAATTGTTTGAAATTTCATATGAATCTATATAATATGATGGCATGATTATTAAAAGGTGGTTATCGCTTATAATGATGTGTCAAAGTTAAGGAATTCATCTCATATTTGGATACTGCATCAACTAAGGTAGAAATTGATAATAAACTAATAGCGACTCTTCTTAAGATAAAATTGAAGGTGCCAAAGGAGATGGGAAAAAAAAAACCACCAATTATTCTTTTGGATCTAGGAATCATACTCTCCTCTACCACTGGACAAGCTCTTTTCATCATTTCGAGCAGATTTAAAATACTACTACATATCAAAATACAACTTGAGAATCAAAAAGTTATGGTTGCTCCAAACTTTGAATAACTCCATGATTGGAGATACTCTAAAAAAGCAGTAACTTTTCTTGAGGGACTACCAGAGTTCAAACATCTCTTCATGAACTTAAGAAGCTCAATCTATTCACTGGCTCTCTTTCCATTAACTTCCCAATCATCTTAAATCATGGTTTTAACTTTTAATCTATGCTTTTCAATATTAACACATCCAAATTCTATATAAAAAAAAGTGTTTCATGGCGTTTCAGATCATCGTTGCATTAACCACCAAAAAGTGTCTGACGTGAAGACAAGGATACGACTGAATGTTTACAATCAACCGGTTAAATAAAGTTAATGAACAAGCTGGAAGATTTCCAGTGGAGCTTCAAGAGAACTTGAGATGGAAGAGAGAAGTTGGAAAATTAGTTGCTCTGCCAAGTTTCTCTATAACAATAATTCAACTTAATTATTAGCCGAAAGTATGAAGTGACATCTAATAATTTCATCACCTTTTAACTCTTGCAGATGGGATTTAAATGGATCTTTGTACCTCTTGCTCTCCTGCAAGTTTCTTAGTAACATGCCTTTGAAGCTGTCAATTTTTAAGTGACACTAGCTGCTCCTTAATGTGGTCAATCAATCAAGCTAATATTGAGTTTCTATGGTAATGTTATTAAGAACTAAAAGTTGCACGGCTAATTGGAGAGAAATACTCATATAAGTGTGTATGTAATAAAATAGATATATCGAATAATGCTAATAGTATTCTATGGAGATTATTTCAGCCTAAATAAAAAATCTATAGACTATTTTAACACTTGTAAATTTGGGATTAAAATGACCCCCATAGAAATAGAGCTAGAAAATAGAGCTAAAACAAGTTTTGATAAGTCTGTATGACACCATATAACAATTAAAGTTCGATCAAATACATCATAAAACATATTGATAAAAATAATATCTACTGTTAAAACAGCTCCATCCATGAAAACTTGTTTTAACTCCAGTAATTTCATCACCTAACGTTACTCTTGGGATTTTATGATGGCTTTGATCGAACTTTGATTTTTATAATAATTAAATTAACAATAGATCGATGAAGAAGATAATGTTGATCTTTGGGAATAATGTTCCATAATTTAATTCTTTTTCACATTTCAAATTCATAAATAAAATTATGAAAACTAATGATATGTAAGACTTAGAAAATATTGAAGATCACAAAATCATTAACAAGCAGCATTAAATTAATAATGATGAATGACTGATTGCATAAATGATACATAATTTCAAAATAAAATGACTTGGGTGAGGGCTCAGAATAGGGAATCATGGGAACACGATATCCGACAGTAAGTGAAACAGAATGGCGATTGTAGGAGTGGGTCGGGAAATGTTGAACAGGAGAAGTGATCATGGTGCTTTCATAGAATGCAGCAGCACAACGTAAGCTTCAGGAGCTATGCATGAAGCATACATAGGAAATATACATACCTCGCACACAACTCTTGTGTATTTTCATATTTCACAGATAAACTTTCATGTTCAAGTATATAACATTTCCGTGTTTCAAGCTTATGCATGAAAATATGTATTTCACTTTTGATGTGATATGAAAGATAAAAAATGTTATTTTGTAAATATGAAAATTTTGAAGTGAGAAATTTAGAATTGTGTGATATGTATATGTTAATGCCCTATCATATAAACGAAAGAAAATAGGTGTAAATATGTGACTTCCAAACATCAAGTCTACTCTTAACCACATCATTTCAACCAACAATCTTAATAATGTAAATAAGAGGCATTTTCATACATAGCACCCAAGTGCTTACACATATTTAACATATGAATTTTGCTTTCTATGTTTATACTACCCAAGTCCCATAACATATCAAAAATACCATCATTGTCTTATAAAAAATAAAATACATTCCCTCATGCATAGATGAATTGGTATGTATATAAAAATTAAAGTTTAGGCCTTACATATGTAAATAGATAAGAATCAAGCCGTATGTGTGTAAATCTTCCTATAAATAAACAATTTCCCATATAAATAGCATCTATTAAGCCATAGATGCCCCGATTTTGCTATTGAAAAATCAATGGTACAGCGAGTTTAGAAAGAAACATGGTTGTCCTGTGGAACAGTTTAAAACTTCAATTAAAGCACCAGAATGTTTCATTGATAAAAATAACTAAACAATTGCATTAGCAGCGCTAGCAATTCTGGGCCACAAATCCGCGCATTCCTTTCCAATAGGTCCAGTAATTGCAGAACCTGTAACCAACCAGGATCGAAATGAAAGAAATACAAATACAAATAATATATATGAATCATAGCTAAAATTAACTAATTACCCTTCATTTCTCCCTTCGGATTCACAATCACACCAGCATTATCTGCAAAAAAAATAAAAAGAGTACAAACATTAGGTAACAAAACAATTAGCAGAATTGCCAACGAAGTTCCACCATAAAACCAAATTTGAGATTAGTGAATTAATGTAAATAGAAACAAAGAAGTACAATAACCACAAGCGTCTAGAGAGGCCTCCAAACTGTATATGCTTTGGGATGTGCATACATTCGGTAATTGATTGATTAAAATTTTTCTAAAAGGAAAAAAATTATGTCCCAGGAGACAGGTAACACAATGAAAAGATTTAACATCATGCTGTTTAATACTGGTCAATATATTATATGCTTCCCTACTGTGAATGAATACAGCATTAACATCATCCAGAAAGTAATGAAGCAACTGGTAAGGACATCATGACAATTGGTTGGTACATCAATTTACCAGTATGCATTTTTCTTAGTAAATATATACTTTTATGAGGGCTTTTTACTAGTATTTTACTTCATATGAGCATAATGATCATATGATGATACAACTGAAAATACAAACTACCATTTGAACTGCAAAAGACATATACAGCAGAACTAATCAAATAGAGCAGAGCATAAACAAGTATATGTAAAAGTTAAATGACTGCAGCAGCTTCCAACACCATACAATGATAATTATCAGACGGTTAGTTGGGAATTTTGAATACAATCACTTCAATAGAGTGAGATAAATAGATATTCACCAAAAAAATCTCCCAGCCAGCATAGAATCATTCAAAAATAAACTAAATTAAAAACTATAATTAGATCATACTTCTATCTCCAATGTCAGCGCATCTTCTGGAAATACCATTAAATTTGAAGCAAATATGCATATAAAAACAATGCCTTAAATTTAGAAAACAAAAAAAAAATGCAAATTATCGATTCAATCATAAAAATGACATCTCCGAATATGCAAAACCACAAATAACATGCCGTGATAGGTCAAAAGTTCTGAACAGCAATAACGCATTAATGTTTATCTCATGGCCAGTCCCAAAAAGTAATAGCAGCAACGCCGCTCCTTAAGGCGATGGAATATGAGATCGTTGAAGATGGAGGAACTTGCGAACCATCAACATCTCCAAGCTCTATATGTGACGTTTACTTAGGAATATGCAAACATTAAGCTATATGTGACGTTTACTTTAGGAATATGCAAACATTAAGGGTTTGCTCCAGCAAGTTGAAGGAAATTTAACCCGGAAGATTTCCCTCCGTCACAAAAAAAACCACAAAAGCCGATCACCATGTTTAATTTGGAAAAGAAAATAACCGCAGCCGCTACAAAAACCATACAAGACATCCTACTAGAAAAAAAAATAAAACAAAACTTCAATTTCAAATGCGATAATCCATAAGATAACCGATTAACGAAATTCAATTGAGCAGAAAACCTTCCAGGAAAAAAAATAAAGATAAGACCTTCAAAATACATGTAGACTCCATCCTTTCGGCGCCAAGGCTTGCGCTGTCGTACGATGACAGCGGGCATGACCTTTTTTCTGAGATCGGGCTTTCCCTTCTTGACGGTAGCCATAACCATGTCACCAACACAGGCGGATGGGAGGCGATTGAGGCGCCCCTTGATCCCCTTTACAGAGATGATATAAAGATTCTTCGCACCAGTGTTATCAGCACAGTTCACTGTTGCTGCAACAGGAAGACCCAGCGACATCCGAAACTTATTTCCGGCGCTGCCTCCGCGTCCTGAGAACATCGTCACCAATAGACAATGCATCGCTCATTACAACCAGAAGGAGCATATATGACAACGAATGGGAGAATCGGAGACACATCTAGGAAATATAGATATGCAGAAAGAGACGAATAAAGGCTTACCTCGCTTCGACATCTTCAACAGGAAGGATTTGAGGCCTAGCAACGGAGACGGAGAGGTTTGAGGGCTAGCTCAGTTATATATAGGAGTTTCGCTAGGGTTTCGATGTATTACGAATTTACGAAAATATCCTTTCTGCGCTGGTGATAGCCAACGCCATTGGCACGTGTGACATGGATTTGCCCGCAGGATCAACGGCAATGGAGCCTCTAGTGGGAGAGATCATTCATGCCAAGTTTTATTCAATAAAAAAAAAATACAAGACCATGAACCCTTACAACATCACACAAATAACAAAACAAAATAACCCTAAAAATAAAGAGAAAAAGACATCACAATGATAAGATATTTTACAATAACAAAAAAAAAATCAATTAGTCTCCAAATATACAACTAAATCATGAATATGATTGACCTGACAATCAATACACAAATGAAGCCGAAAAAACCCCAATGGATTCAGACCATCAAGCAAGGTAATGCCCACACAAAACAAACATCAAAACAGTTTTTCATAATAGCCTTCATCACATACGTCTGCAATAATAACATTAAAATTTCTTCAATGTATTATGAACATCTAAAATTAAAGGATCCTAAATATTCAAAAACACAATTGAATAATATTAAATGATTGATATTCATCGTATCTCCACCAAACTCAACTTAAAAAAGACAATCAAATATAGATATGATTCATATCAGCAAAATAAAGATCTTACAAGAGCAATATATGACCTAAACAGACACCAAATATATAATTAAACTAGAAACTCAGCCACCGAGACAAACATCAACACAAATAAATTCGAATAAAGAATCTAAAGGTTCTAGATCGATCAAGTAAGATAATGCCCATAAAAAACAATCACCATAATAACTTCTCAAAACAACTATTTTTACATTCATCCATAAAAATAATATAAAAATTTCTTTAAAGTATTATGATTATTACATCAAGAGATATATGATATTCAAATATATGATTGAAATTTAATAAATGATAAAGTTTATAATTTTTATATGCGCTCCTCTCTCAAAAAATGAAATACAATTTTATTATCATTACAAATATAAAGATTCAATTTATGATAAAATCTATGCAACATATTTTAAATTGAATTTACATACATTTTATTTATTTAAAATAGATCTAATAAATTTAAATCAACAAAAAAAATACTTTTACAAAATAACTGAGAGTTTTTCGTAAAATGACTAGATAGGAAAAACAATCTTAAGTGTCATTTTCAAAAAGATAAATATTTTATTTTATATTTTTATTAATTAAATATGTCATTGAATAAAACTTTTATTTGAATATTGTTATTATTTTGTTTTATTTTTTTATAAATAAAAAAAATAATTTGACATTGATGATCAAATATTACAAATTATTAGATTTTTTTCTCATATTTTTTTTTCTTTTATTATATTAACAAATTCTTAAAGCTTTAAAGAAATTTGAAAAATTTTATTGACAATTTCGAGCGAGAAAGAAAAATTTTGAAATAATTTTTTAAAAATAAAAAAAATTGGTTCTCATTTTAAAATAAAAAAATTATGGCTTTGTCCCTGGTTTGGGAGCTAATTAAAAAGAATGATTAATAGCATGTATGATGATGCACCCTCTCTAAAATTATTCCAATGAATATCATAATTGTAAGAGGAAGAAACTATGTATAAAAGAAGAAAGAAAATTTACATAACACCTAAAGCATTAATAAATTTATTATTCTTATTATTACTATTGTTAAATGAGTTTTTCAAAAACAACTTTATTTAATTTAATAAAAGATTTTTAAAATGAAAGGTGATTCTTAGGGTTTGTTTGGGGCAGCTGCAGCTTATTGAATAATCTGCTGATAAACTGATTAAAAATAATATGTTGATAAGCTAGGTGCGATGACTATTACAAATTTTTATTTTTTTGAAAAAGCCAGAACGCTATCAGAAAGTTCTCATCGCACCTAGATGTGAAAACACTGCTTTCGGCATTTTGAAAAAACATAAGCTGCCAAAACGCAATTTACGCAAACATGACAAGTGCGATTTCAACGTTTCCGCACCAAATAAGTTGCCCCAAACGGTCCTATCAAATTTTGATTGATTGATATTTTTTTCACAAAATCATATTATCAATTGGAGTCAAATACATGTTCATATTTTGAAATCCTGGAATCTTTGTTTGGATCCTTTCTCTAAAACTTATGTCAATGATATCTGTCATCATCGAGCAAGAATGATCTTTTACATAATTACATTATATTTTTAGCTTAAAATTTAAAAGAAATTTTAAATGTATTTTACTTTTTAGAGAATTCACATACTTGATTACGAGTTTATGAAAATATTATGTTAATTCTAAAGTTGTTATGTATAATAGATGTGAGAGATTATATGATCATCATATTTTATATATTATTATTTGAATATTATTCTCTTCTAAATATTTATTTTATACTCTCTTTTCAAAAAAAAAAAAAATAATAATAATGGACGATTTCCTTAGTTCGCTTATCTCCGACTTCTAGATTACAGCAAGCTTTTTTCAATCCAAATGCATCTTTTCATAGCTCAATTGAACCCAATATTGCCCATGAAGAAGTCTCATTTGCCTTTTAAGCCCATGAATGCCTCAATGGGAAACAAACAATCATGCACTCCAGTGAGCATTTTTGTCACATATGTTGCCTGCAATGACAATAGAATCTACAAATACGAATGCAAACATATGTGGCTTGCATTATGAGGAGATGAGTCTTTCAACATTCAATGGAGGCCAACGTCAGGGCTTTTTCCAAGTAGAATTATGTCAAACCCAATGCCACAACTAGCTCCCATGCAGCGTCTATGTTAAAGTATTTGCCAGAGATTATCAAAACATCACTGTGGAGTTTCATAACCAACAAGAATGCTTCCAACAGAATTGTTATGACTCCACTAATGCACAGGTAATACATCTTTTCAAGTACAATATGATATTTGTTTAAGGTTGTTATTATTGGAAAGATTGCTTAAAAAAGATTTAATCGTTGTTAAATATATTAGAGAGTAATTTATAAGGACGATAAATACAACAAAATATCATGTACTATATAAAATATTTATTTCTTTTGTTCACCCATAGGTGTGAACATTTTATATACTTATCTCTTTACTGAACTAAGAAGCGGGATCGGGAGGCTATGCAACCATTCAAGAGTAACACTTTCTTGATGTTCCTTGAGGGCACTATGTCTCTCAGCGTCTTGATCTTCTTTGGGTTTATCTCAATTCAAAGATGAGTGACCATGAATCCCACAAACTTTCCCAAGGTGACTCTGAATAGGCATTTAGCCCATTTGAGGCGCATGTTGCACTGGCGAACAGGTTAGAAACACTCCTCTAGATAAGAGATGTGTTGGGATGCTTCTAAGCACTTTACCAGCACATGATCAACATATACCTCGATTGGTTGTTTGAGGAGAACTTTGAAGACCTTGTTCATTAGGCATTAATAGGTTAAACTGACATTCTTAAAACCGAATGGCATGACTTGGTAACAAAATAAGTCTGTTTAGAAGGAGTTGGTCTGTTTAGAAGGAGTTGGTCTAATCGTCTCTCAGATTCATCTTTATCTAATTGTGCCTCGAGTAAGCGTTGAGCCATGAATAAAATTTTATCATCTGGCGTGCACCTCGAGGAGTGGCACGGATCTCAATGAAATTTAAAAAAAATGTTTAAACTTTGATAAAAAGTCGTCCATAAGTATAATTTCAACAAACTTATAGTAAAACTGATCGGATCAACAAAACAAACACAACAATACCAAAATTGGTTCAGTCCAAGTCAAATCAAACCAATATCAATACAATGAACCACTTGTAGAAGTTTTCCAAGCATAATTGGAAGGTCAAACAAAATTTGAATATGACAAGCATATATTCAAAACAAGTGTCTGGCAAAACTAATCCAATAAGCTCAATATCACTCAATTTTAGCATCATTAAGACACTAAAATGTCCATCGAACGTTGTCCGATCGAAGGGATTTATCTGAGCTATGTAATCGAGAGTGAATCAGATTATTTTCTTATTTACATCCCGAACTCTGTAAATAGAGCCCTAGTCCTCTCATACAGAAGAACTGGACATTTGGCAGAGCAAGTCAAAAGCCTGCAGAAAAGGAAGTTGTAGCCCACATCCTGCACCGCGGATTCAACAGTCTTTGGCTTCCATTGCCTCCAGCGAACTCGGGTTGTCGTCCTCCCCCGACTGTTGCCTCCCTCTGGCCAACTCTAGCCGCCGACACCTATGGCCAACTTTGACGGCCACCCGCCAACCATTGTCGACTACCATTGGTTGTTGTTTGCTCTCTACGACAGAGCAACAAGTTCCTTTGCACGCAGACATTGTAATTGAATGAACTATGTAACTCTTTCATTTATGTAGAACAAAAGAATAAATCTATAATCACCAACTTATAGTGAAATATTTCAACTGAACAAGACTTCATGGTTTTCCCTTTTCTGGATTTTCCATGTAAAAACATCTGATGTCCCTATTGATTATTTTCTTTTACCTAAGTGTGTGATGATTCTCAAACATTGCTAAAACAATAATTCATTACTACCGCTGCAAATTTCCTAACATGCATCACTCATTATAATACCAACTCAATGTTGGAGAGTACAGTAATTATCAATTTCAATAAATATTAATTGCATTAATATATTGTCCTAACAAAAAAATTTATTTCAAAATTTTCCAGAAATTCCAAGTAATGCAAAAAATAACAAATAAATGCTATAATTCTAAGACTATAAATACAAAATAATAAAAATAATACAATAAATAAAATTAGCAAATGTAAGTTCGAACTGCAAAATTAAACTCTGAAAACTGTTTTAACACATCAGAATCGGTCTACAGGTGCATCCTACCTTACCCTGCTGAGCCCCCAACCAAAAGGCTTTGGCTGTCAGGCATTTGCATTGAGTTGCGTGGCTTTCCATACTAAATACGCTTAACAAAAAATAGGGCTCGGAACAGCAAATTAAGTTTGTTGTCCTTCTCAATAATGTTCAT